TTGTCAGAAAAAGAAAATCAATTGATTTTTTTTTTAACCTGGAATGGATAGGCATTTTCTGCCATATAAAATGAAACTACTGGTGCAGACCACCTTTTTTGGGGGATGAAATAATGTTAAATTGATACATAGTTCATTATTAATGTAAGTAGTAATTCACATTAATCATGTATATTTTGAGTATGTGTATCCAGGTGTGTGTGTGTGTGTGTGTGTATGTGTGTGCGTGTATGTGCATCTCTGTTTGTGTATTGCGTAGAAAAGGGAGGGAGGTGTATCAAAATCCTGATTTCAACTGCAATGTCTCTTTGATAAAATTTGGCTCAGGCTTCAATGTTAAATTACAGATAAATATGTTAAAGTTCAGTGTATTCAACCATTCTGAGTTACAAGTGATGCAGAAACAGCTTGAATTATTTACTTTCCCAGTTGAATGGAGAGACAAGCAGTAACATCTCGGCAATGTTCTAGTAAGCCCACCTGTCAGCTTCAAATGCTACCTCACTCATCTGCCATTTCTTTAAACAACCAGCTTTCATACTAGAACATAGCAATTATTAAGCCACTAAACAGCAAGATAATACATTTCAGTCTTATTATATATATATTAATTGATAAATACTATTTTATACTTTATTTAGGGAAGGGGGTCTTCAAACTTAGCCCTTTTATGACTTGTGGACTTCAACTCCCAGAATTCCTCAGCCAGCGTGACTGGCTGAAGAATTCTGGGAGTTGAAGTCCACAAGTCATAAAAGGGCCAAGTTTGAAGACCCCTGATTTAGGGGAAGGGCTTTTTCTCTTTTAAATCCAAATATATTCCTTGCAGACCTTATAATGCTTGCTTATGGAAAGGATGTTATGCTTCTTTGAGTTTACTCTGATATTGATTATATCCCACCTGAGGTTAGATATTAGCATTAGACATATTGTAATAAACCTAAACATGTAAGCAAAAAAAATCTTACAGAGATAGATCGGGTTTGAAAATGAATGAAGCTGCAGATGGATAACAGAGCAGCTTGTTCCTAAAAAAAATGAAAAAAGGAAAAATTCTGGTATGTTTCCTGTACACCCGACCTTTAATAAATGTGGTATAATAATTAACTTGCACATTGCTACAAATCAAATATTGCTTAAGAAATAGTTCAAAGCTCATATTTCCTTAAAATAATTGAGTTTTCATGATTTCTCAAATTGGGATGTAGCTTATATGTAAGGGAAAAAACATTACCCAATTTCCAATGTAAGTGGGAACCATTTTGTTAAAGTTAGTAAAAAATGTTAAATTGCTCACCTGGTTTTGTCAGGGAAAAATGTAAGTCTGGAGGAGGGAATCTAAGGGATTATCTGCACCATCCCTTTCAGCTCTGCTTGTCCTGTACTCATACCAGCTGGACTGCAAGCAAACTTAAGAGGACCTGTCTGGAGTGAGATGCTCTGACTACAGCTTGCAAAATATTCATTTAGGACTGTAGGCTACTACATCCTCCCATTGCTCAATTCTCCTGCTGTTGCAGTCTCCCAACCAATTGCTTCCTATAGGTCTTTCTAGACAGACTTAAATGGCTGTGTGTGTGTTTATATGCACATTTTTTTTCTTTTTTCAGTCATGTTCAATTTTCAGAGACTTGCCTGGATAAGTCCTTGAAGTTTTCTTGGCAATGTTTTTTAGAAGTAGGTTTGCTACTTTCTTCTTCCTAGGGCTGAGAGAAAGTGACTGGTCCAAGGCTACCCAATTGGCTTCATGCTACACATAAATATACGTACAAAGTGTATGTATGTCTACAAAGCTGGTTATTTTACATGAGGACTACCACAATGCACTCTACATGGGCCTGACTTCAGAAGCTACAGCTGGCCTGGAAAGTAATGGCCTGAGCAATTCAGAGTGGAACTCATTATGCCTAAGCAGTACTTCTGCTATGCAAGCTATACTGGTTACTGGTTAATGACCTTCTGGTCACCTTAGTGAACTTCTGGTCACAATTCATGGTGCTGGCTGCCACCTATAAGCCCTTCAAGGCATAAAGCCTGGCATCCTGAAACTCCCAGAGACTGAGGACTTACTCATTTGGTGTGTCGTCTGTCTTAGTTACAGTATACAGTTTCCCCTATTATGTTTAGCTTTATGTCATGCTATCCTGTCTGTTTTTAGGCATTGTGTTGGTTTTGTGCAGCTTCCACAGTCCGTGCTGATAAACCAATCAAATAAATACAAATAAACAAGCAAATTAAAGAACCAAATGAACAGTCACTCTTGAAATGGAAATTACGTTTTGTGTTTTCCACGCTTACACTGGTTCAGATTTTGCTATATTTCTCACAAATATAATTTCTCACAAATATAATTGCAACATTTGCATTAAAGGCAGTCCTGAAGTTCCAACTGTTCATTCAGTGACCATTTGAATTTACAGTAGCACTGAAAAAATGATATTTATGCCCGGTCCCAGAAATTATGGTTGTTGCTGATCAAAATTTGGATGCTTTGACAGCTCACCTGCACTTCGACCACAGGGTGCATCAAATCAGCTCCTGCCACAAACCTATTTTCCCCGTCCTCTCTGCCCTTTTGGTCACCCTGCACTTCTCTCAGCCTGGTGTTCTGCCAACACTGCCGTTTTGTTCTTGCTACCCTGTCAGTCCTACTGGCTCCAAACTCAAACCTCTTTGTTCACTCCATTCAGAAAAGAAAGACATTGTTTCCCTGCCCACATCCATATTCTTTCTTCATTTTTTTTTTAACTTTGCAACAAATCACCATACATCCAATTATGGGAGCAGGTTGTGCTAATCACTCAGGGAGTGGCTTCTCTACTGAAACCGCTATTATTGATGGTTAATGCATGAATTCAGGTTATTATTGTTTCTCGGGGTTCTAAACATTATGAGACTCCATGGAATTCAAATCCAGCAGTTCCTCCCCAGAATTGATCAGTGCCTTACGTGTCAACCCCCTACAAATACAATTAGATCACATTTCTTTTTCTGGTTGTGAAAAATACAGTGATGGTGTGAGAAATGCCAAAGGAAACATATTATTGTTTCTCTATAATATCCATTAATGTAGTTGTTGTTTTAACCATTTAGTTGTGTCCAACTCTTAGCAACTTTATAGGCACCTGTTCCTCATGCTACCCTGTTAAGCATAGCTTCTTTCAATTGTTGGATGTTCAACTTCGTATCAGATTTGATGTTATCCAGCCAATATGTTCTTTGCTTGCCCCTTCTTCTTGTTCCACTAACCATTCCTACCATCATTGCCTTCTCCAATGAGTTTGCATGCACAACATGGCCAAAGTAAATCAGACATGATTTTAGCGAAGTAAATCAGACATGACTTTAGCTTCTAGTGTTGTGTCTGGTTTTATCCATTAATGTAGGATAGTTACACAATTATCACGCAAAGGAAGAGATTTGTCATGATTATTATTTCTGACGTCAGAACCGTTCTGCCATTCCACCATATTGGAACACATTTTTGTAACCTGTCTTATTCTAATGCATTTGTAATAAGTAACTTTGCATCCAATGAATATACAGTCACTGCCAGCAGTATAAATCTGCTGATGAAAAATCTAACACTATACCCTTACATTAAAGAAAAAGAGGGGAAACTAAACATAAAGAATTACATCGTTTATTATTTGATTTAGAAGATGCTTGACAGCCAGTGTCGGAATGCTAAAGGAGAGTATATCATTAACAGGGAAGGCAAAGAAGACTAATAAACTAGGTAATTTGAGGATGATGCATCTTTGCCAGGGGAAAGAGCAGATTCTCCTGCTTCAACAAAATTGCCTATTGCTTTAAATTCAAATATTGGCATACTTAAACAGCTGCATTTGGATGCTTTGCCAGCAGAAAAGCTGCTGCGCATGGATGAGTTTCAAGTTCAAAAATACGGAATTACAAATATACATCTGGGTTGGGTTTTTTTTAAATAAAAAAAATAGATTTCACAAAAGCATTTTTAAGTATCTTCGAGAGAGAGGATTGACCATTTTGTCACTGAGAGTCACAACACATACTTATAAAATGTACGCACACTGACTGACAATCCATACAAAGCAGTTATTGAAAATATATTTATTTATTTACATAGTTTATATCCTGTTTGATCCCCTGGGGTGGCTTTCTTAAGATCAGAATACCAAAGTGTTCCCAACATTTAAATTTCTTCATACAGTAATTATTTTTCAACCAGAATAATGCTCATAATTTTATACTTAGTCCTAATAAAAATATCCTATTATTATTCTGTATCTATTGCTATTATTATCATAGCCACATACACAGCAGGCTAGATGTCTCCAATGTATATAGCTTACAATATGCAGACCAATAACTGACTTTACCCAGTTAACCTCCTTTCTCACCATACCAATTCCCATTGGTCTGCCCAGTTCATCCCAGAGTATATTCTGTGAAACTCTTGCAATTTGAAGTTGATTTTATTAAATGTTCCCACTGAGAAGTCAGTTTCTGTCATGTTTCCTTCTGCCAATGTTGCCTTTAAAGTGATTTTAAACTGCGGATTGTGACCATCTGGATGGACCCAAGCAATTTAGAAAGGTCACAGTATTTTTAACCTAATCAACTTTTGTAGACAAAGTGGGAGTGATTTTTTTTCAGTGTTCCCACTTGGCCTCTTCATAAATTTTATTTACTGGAGAATTGCAGAAATTCATATATTTCTGTATTTTAGGATACCCTAAAACAGTGATGGTGAACCTTTTAGAGACCGAGTGTCCAAACTGCAACCCAAAACCCACGTATGCATTGTCGGGTGCCGGGTGGGCATGGCCCATTGGGTGGGCGTGACTGCGGTAGTAACAGCAGACTGGGTGGGACTAAAAAATTCAATTAATCAATTCCAACTTTGCAAGATCTTTTTTTTTCCCGCGAGAAGTTGAAATTGACTGATTGAACCTTTTTTTGGGTACACGGCGGCAGAGGCCTAAAGTGAAAAGGTTTTATAAAACCCAGCTGAAGGACTAGGACTGGGGTGATGGCACATGTGCCCACAGAGAGGGCTCTGAGTGCCGTCTCTGGCACCCGTGCCATAGGTTCGCCACCACTGCCCTAAAATATCTATTTACTGACTTAGTTTATTTGCATCTGGCTTCCGCATCCATTATATAGTGTTTATGGGGTTTCTAAGTGGTCTGTTATGGAGACACCAACCAGTTCCAAATATGTTTAACTTCAAGGTGCCCTTTCTTCATAAACTTCACTCCTATCTTTTTCTGTAACTAATTTCCCCTTGATCCTCCTCCTCCCTGTATTTTGAAAAACTCTAATCTTGTAGATATAGTTTTAGTCAATAGATGGCGCTAAATATCCATATAGGAAACCATATCCTCTTCAGTTTAATGGAATAGTTTAAAATAGAAATATATGTTTTTGATCAAATGTTATCACCATTTAGAAACAATAGCACACTAGCTTTCTCCTGATACAGTTGGAGTGGTCCAGTTTGGAATAAGTTATTTACTTTATGTTCTTGTTTTAATGTCTTCCTATTTATTAGACTATAGTATGCATTTGTATGGCGTTTTCCAGAATATGTAGTTTCTAACTATTATTTTCAGTATAATACATGGAGACCAATAAGAGGCTCTATGGAAATTTGAACATTTATATGAATCCTCAGTTATGATTACTAATGTTTTGCTAACCCTTTAAATTGTGTGCTGTGATACCTATAAAGTATGTTCCTGCTTTTATTTTTAATTTCACTTTGGAACGTCTTGATTGCGATATTTGAAATTCTGAAAACATCAGCGATGTTATGTTGTAGTAAGTGACATTCAAGATATTTCTCTGTACATATACAATCTTATTTTTGTAGTTATGGCAGAAAACTCTCTTTCTTACACTATTTCTTTAATAATACAAAGTTTGATATTTTGATTACTCCATAAACTGGGATAAATCAAACATGTATCAGATATATGTCATTGGAACCATTTCTGTTCGGTGCATCAAAATATATTGCAAAATATCAGATCACAGTCATTGCCCTGGCCTTTACCAAGTAAGGAGCACAACGCTGAGGACAAAAACCATGTTTATTGCATGATTGGGTACCTGCATTACGAGAAAGAGGGACCCTAAACAATAGACATGCAAATACCTTTATAGAAATCTGAAGACTACAAGGTCAGAAGTCCTAGGTGATCTAATTTACAAGCTAGTTTGAGGAAACTAACTAGGTCCTTGTCAACTTACCTGTGGTGGCTTCCTTGTTCGGCAAGATGGGCCGTCCAGAAGGACAGCAGAGCTGAGGAAGTTCATGATTAAAGGAGATGGAATGTTGAGGTCATCCGTTGATAAAGAGAAGGTGCAAATTTGGAGTAGTTCTGTGTTGCAATTCTGTTGTAAGGGTTGCCCTTGGGCAGTGGTGTGACAGGTGAGGAGGCCTCTATTCTCTGGTTTGATGGGATTGCAGGGTGCATTGTCTGGAGCAGGGAAGTTCAATTTGAGTCTGATGGGATTAGGCAAAGAGAAGAACTGGGTTTGACCCTGGTCAAATGCAAAAGAACACAGGGGGTGAGGGGGAAGGGATGGGGTGCAATTTCCATTTTGTTTCCTAGATTTTCTCCACTGCAAGCCTATTAATTAGAAAATTTAACACTATATCTCATGGATTAAATATAGAGCACGGGTACTTTTCACTCTGCATTATTATCGAGGACAATAATGTTTATGTAATACCTCTTTTATATTTAGTCACTTTCAAATGAAACCTAATTCTACCCCTTCTTTCTCACTTCTCTGTGTTGCAAATTCCTAGCTTTAGTAAGGTACAATACTAATGAATCTGAAGCTTTTATGTACCCCAAATCCTCCCCCTCGCATAATCCTATTTATAAAAGGCAAAGCTTGAGAAACCAGACTGTACCTTAATTATTCCAAGGACTTTAGGAAAGTGGGCTGACTCTTGAGCTAATGGCTGATTTGCTGGCTGGACCCCAAAATCCAGAAATGGAGCATTATCCTTGATTCATCAAAGCAGCAGGCAGTATTCTGAAAAAGGCTGGTTTTCACTTATGTTGCACATTCTGAAAGGAAGTGGTGATGGTGGTCCTACATATGAACAAAGATGCAAAGATTTCAAAAGAGAATAATAAGTAATATGTGTAGCTAGGTGACTGTACTGATTTTATTTGGAAACTTGAGTGTTTAATTGTTACTTCCTTTTCCCAAAATAGTCCTTTTTTTAACCCAGAGATTTGGCTTCACTGGTTTTAGAAGGAAGTTTCTTATTCAAACCTTTTCCTGCATGGGTACTGTTGAGTCCGTCGCGAAATGGTAAGACACGAGAAGCAGTTGTAGTTCTCAGGAAACCTTTATTCTTCGGTTCAGCTTACATTGGATTATGGCGGCAAAACCCAAAACTCGCGGCCTCCTTTTATAGGACTTTCCCGGGTCAATGTGTTACTTTTCGCGCGCCAGTACTTGCGCATGCGCACAAGCACTGGCGACAGCCTGTCTGGTCCCGGGCAGCTTGCACCTGCCCGGGACCGCCTGCAATGCCCCGAGCCTGCTTGCAAGGCTCAGGACATAACAGGTACAATACTACCTTTTTATGTTTCATGACTTAACAAGGCTTTGGGGCTTTAGGCAGGTAGATTGAAAGCATCTTCCATTCTAATTTTCCTAGAGTTGGGCTGAAGGGTGAGGTTCTGGCCGAAAGGCTGATGCCTGGGAAGGTCTTGGAAGGAGAGGTTTCAAATAATCCTTCTGTTTTATAACACCTTCCCTGTCTAAAACAACTGTTTGCCTAAGGCTAGCCTTTCTCAGGACAATAAAATTCAAACTTTGATGGATTTATTTCCCTTCAAGACAGCACAACACAACATTTTGTTCAGCGGCCTGACAAGGATCAACGTAAACGCAATTTCATCTCAAGGTCAACTCCTGTAGTCTTCATTTACAAAAAAAATAAAAATAAAAATGATGGAAATGAGTTGCTATTCTATTCTATTCTATTCTATTCTATTCTATTCTGGATTTTGTTTTTTATTTCAGCCCCTCCCCCCATCATTTCCCTGATAATCTTTTATCCAGTTTATTAGCCTGAGCATGTGTGGTTTCTGGCATTAGTGTGGTGCTGCCAGGTTGCTGAACCCTCCTCCTGGAAATTCTTATTCTCATCTAATATGTGATAAATATAATATCAAAAAGGAATTTTGTGTCCTTGCCCTGATCTTTTACCTCTTTTCCCCTTCCCTTTCTCTGCAACAAACAAATGTAAGACTTGTACAGGAAAAAAAAAACAGTTCTTTGAACCACACTCTGTACCTTTGGATAAAACAAAAAGCTTATGGGAAAATGTATTTGTTTATTTTTCAAGGGACACAACAGTCTTCATTTTTAAATCCTTTATCGGATTTTTTAAAAAATGAAATTGTTGAATAGCAGCATCAACTTGATGGCCTTCTTAGATTACCAAAAAGTTAGCTGGTTCTAATTGCCCTATTCATTTTATAAAGAGATTATTTTTTTTGAAGGGGGGGAAGAAAAAAGAGACATAAGCATATTCATGTTTTCCCAATAACCTATGGGTCAATACTGAGCTACATTAGAAGACAGTCCCACAGAGAAGTAATTGCGTTAAATCTTGTGAATCTTAAAGCCCAACCAATTTATTATTTCATAAATCAATGAAGTCAGAAAATATTGGAATCTAGATACAACCGTGATAGCTGCATGTTTTATCATTGTATTTCTTATACAGTACATTTTCAGAATTGGAAATGTGATCCATGTAGAATTTGCAACATAATTTTATCAAGATGTGCTCAAAATAATCCCACCAGAGCCTGCGATGCTTCACCTTCACTTTCTCATCCTCCACCAGTGAGTAATTCATACTTTTCCTCGTTTGGGATTCTTTTTATCCCCCTTCATTTTTTTCTTCCTGGATTTACCCTCATTTTTCTGAGCTTTTCTTGGGCCTGTCCGTTTTGAAATTAGAAATCTCAGTAGTAGACAGCTGCTTTTCTATCTTTGTCCACGCCTCGTCACGCACCCCATGGCGTTAATATAGCTCAATTAAGCCACATTCATCAACACAATTATAGTACAGATTGCAGAGCTTTTCACCATGGTTCATGTTCAGAAGTTGGTCAAAAATATCTACATAACTGTTGTAAATGTGTGTTTTTGTGTATGCATACACTTAGGTACATCCGCATCACTTTATATACTGCACGCATACGCACATCCGTTAGTGTCCCATTGCAAAATTATCTTCTTCTTTGCAGCACCAATCTTCCTTCATGTGGTATGAACCTATAGCGGGGAACATTTAGGAAGAGGAATCTCTGACTTCATCTCTCCTGGATTATGGACACATAATAATTAGGCAACACAGAACTACTTTCTATGCTAATTTCTCTGTAGACGTTTAGCTATCACTCATCATGGTTACAAAATATAAGTCACTCTTCCCCTGGAGATGAAGATAAGCATAAGCATTTATCTCATCATTAATGCTGTTGGCCATGGAAGTTCAGTAGACAGTAGTCATTAATTACCAGCCTCTCTCCCTTCTTATTTACAGACCCTAAACTAGATTTATTGGGGTGGACTGTTTAACTCTCTGAAGATCTAAATGGCATCGTCAGCTACAATCAGGCAATGTCACTAATATATTTTTCTGGAAGGAATAGCTTATATCTGCCTATTAGTCATAAGAGATAATTTGATTTTCTGTCTTTCAGCGTTTTCTAGGGTTTTTTTCCCCCTTGAATTGTACTTTTTCCCCATTTATTTTCCCACACACAGAGACACAGTTTCTCTTTAACCCTGAAGGCTAAATGGAAGATGAGGGACATGCTGGAAATCTTTCTTGTTTGACAAAACTATACAGTTTTTTCTAAAGAGAGAATTTTAAAGCCCAGATTCTCTATTTATTAAAAAGAATGACAAGAAACAGAGACAGCATGTGATATTTACTTGGTTGTGTATGTTGTTGAGATGCTTAAATACTGTAGTCAAGGTTTCCATTTATAGTCTATAAGGATTGGAGATTGCTCCAGAAAACTTTGTGTGAGATTAGCATTGCATATGGAAAAAAACTGTATACATTGGTATAGACATCAAATGTGGCTACAAGAAAAAAAAGGTTAGGGAAGTATTTTCTGCCATATGTAGGAAGTAGATATTTAAAGATTTTAATGTCTGCATATATGACTGAGAATGATAACCCAAAATAGAAAAAGGAAGTAGAAGAAATATTAACCTGAGAAAGCAGATTTTTGGAAGAAGATATCAAATGTGATTGATTTTGCATATTCACCCATCCAGTTTTTGTCATAATTTATCCTTCCAACAGCAATTAGAGTTCATCCGATTTTCTGTTTAGCGGAGAATTCACCAGATTTATTGAACCAATTGGGCAGTTTGTTCTATATCATGGTCCAAGGGTCAAAATCAGTGGGAGAGACTAAGGACATTGAGATCAGATATGATTATACACATAGTAGTACTTCCAGAAGCATTTATCCTGCTGAAATAATAACCTGATTTCTATCCAATAATGTTAGAACCTTTAAAAGTTCAGGAGAAACCCACTCTTCACCCATACCAATAGAACAAGAGACAGCCCTAGTTTCCTGTAGTGTAGTACTACAACACTAAAGGAGATCTCAGGGGATACAAAGCTAAAAATATTTTATTTGTGCACATAAATCACAATGGTTGGGTTGCCACAATGTCCCAGTCTATTGACCATGGTTTGCAAAACACTCTGCTTAGATTTATACATCACATTAAGCCACAAACCAATCATACTGTGATTGAATATGTTGTGAACTCAGGGTTTTTTTTGTCATAGAATGCCCAGAACGGAGTTCCAGCACCTTTTTTGGATGGAACCTTGTAGGGTAGGCAAGGCGGGTTGTATGACATGTGTGAGTTCTGGCACCTTTTTTTTTTTTTTTTTTTTTACAAAAAAAGCACTGTGTGAACTTATAATTCTGCAAAAGTTTGTTTTGAGTTTCATAACTTTATTAGTGATTCCACCCTCAAATAAGAATGAGGGTACAAAATCAAGGGAGATTGTCATACTGGTTTTGTTTGTATTGTTTAAATTATAGGACATAATCCCACTCAATTATTCTTGTTTATTTTGTTCAGAGCAGAGAATATAGCAAGTAGTTAAGCCCAAAACTTTGAAATCTATTCCCACAATACAGAATGAATTGTTTGATTCAGAAAATAATAATATTTGAATCTTACAAACAAAAAGAGAAAACAACTTCTATATGGCAGATCCTTCTTAAAGGCCCAGAAACAGAAGATGGGTTGTCATTTGTCAGGCTAAGCCCTGGTTTTCTAGCTTGAGTTCATTTCCCTGTTAGATTGATCATTCTGCATAGGGCACATGTCACTTATATTTGAAGTTTTAGCGTTTGTTAGAAAAAAAATACAGTGATGTCCTACTGTGCCTAACACAACAGACATACGTAAATAACACTGTGAGTAAGCATTGATAAGCATGAACAGTTCATACAATTTTAGAGATTTTAAATCCTATTACCTGAGCATCTTTATTATTTAGGTCAGGGCTTTTCAACCAGTGGTATGGGTACCACCTGTGGTACATTGGCACCTGGCAGGTGGTACGCGAACATCCTAGAAAAGTGGTAGCAGGGGAGGGGAATGAGCTGAACCGGTGGCAGCACTGCACAAGCCTGAGCAAGAGATGGCTGGAGCTGCAGGGCTGCCAGGGCTCAGTGGAAGCGCCAGGATCAGCACCAGGCTCCAGCTGGAGCTCGGTGCTGATCCTGATGTTTCTGTTGAGCCCTGAAGAAGCACCAATCAGCTGGAAAGCAGCACTGAGCCTGGCGCTTCTGCTGAGCCCAGAAGAAGCGCCAATCAGCTGGAATGTTGCAGCTTCTCCAGGGTCCTGTGATTTACATTCAGATGCTTGGCAACTGATTCATATTTATGACGGTCACAGTGTCCCAGGGTCATGTGAAGTGACCAAAACCTGCTGCAACCACCCAGCAGACGGGAATAAAAACCAACACCCCTCCACCCCACCCCCATTGCCAACCCTCAACAGAAATGCTCAC